TATTAAAAAAATACCAATGTATGATTTAGTGCAGGCCTAAGGGAGCTCAAACTCATCCTTCCTTTTCCCTCTCCTTTTCTAACATTGGTCAAAGGTGGTTAGAAGTTTCCATTTATTTAATGTATCGTTTGAATTTTAACCAATAGCTCAACTTAACTAGTGCTAGGTGAAGTCATCGCGAATTGTAACTGTTGGCTTATTTCAACTGAGATTCTCTACCATTTAATGCTTGGAATTTATATCAATCTGCAGGTAAGATGAAAAAAAATGGCAGCAAAAGTTTCCAAACTCTTTCTTCACTTTGGAAGAGGAAGATTTACGAGCAATTGCAAGATGTACTGCAGCTCATTCTTATGATGCCAAACCATAATAATCCAAAACAATGTCCAAGTGCAGCCTCCTTTTTTCCTCCTGTTTTAAATCTAGAAGCATATGAATCCAGCTAAGCTGGATGTTTATGATTTTATTTTGGGGAAAATATGAGAAAGCTATTAATAGGATGAGTACATCCCATTCTGCAAAAATCATTATTGGCAAAAGTAGCTGCTAGAATAATATGACCAGAGGTGGGTTTTGTAATTTTTTTACTACTAGTTAGGGTGCGTGCACATGCGAGTGTGTGACATTTCTGTGCATGCGCAGAAGCGTTTGAGCGAGTGGGTGGAGCCTCCCACCACCACTACTACCGGTTTGCCCAATCTGGGCCGAACCGCGAGGAACCCACCTCTGAATAAGACCTTTGTGTAGGATGACTTTTCACATTGTTATGACTCTATAGGTTGTTCAGTTAAACATAATGTACATTTGTAAATGCTTCAGGTACAGTAGTTAAAGCTAAAGTTCATGCTACTTTCATGAAGGGGGAAGTACTTGTGTCATATGTATGTATGATGTGTTTTACATGTATGGGTGCAAGAAGAAAGGGGGAGACGCAGAGCAGCCATCAGCCTTGATGCAACAAGCATATGCTAATATGTGTCCTGGTGAAAGATGAATAGGACACTTCCCTGTTTCTCAGGAACGGAATTGCCCCAAACCAATTCAAAGATATTTAATTTTCTGAATGAAGTCCAGCATCTTTATAGAATGGTAATGTCATTTTCTTGAATACAACGAACAAACATCACCCCAACAGATTATCTTTCTATTTACCTTCCTCTCTTTTAGTTTAAGAATTAAACAGAGGACTTGTAGATTTACTGACAAGGCTAAGACTATGAAAACTTGGAAGTAATACTGTTAATATGTATTTATACACCCTCATTTTTTTTGCATTTTGTCACTGGCATCTCTGGTTAAACTGGTTTTCAGGTTTCTGTAGTGCTTTCAACAGTTCTTCAAGCCCCAACTAGTTTTAAATTAACATTTTAGCAATGTGACTGTATATATCTAGTTGTTCAGATTTATATAGGCATCTACCTTTTATTATACTGAAATCACTGTTGTAAAGCCATCAGTTGTCCAGTTTGTTTGCTGTTGACTGTTGCAGCCCAACAATCATTTCCTTAAATATGAGCCAGCCGTGTGCAGCAGCTGGCAAAAAAGCCAACACAGTTCTAGGCTGCATAAACAGAGGGATAGAATCAAGATCACGTGAAATGTTAATACCACTTTATAATGCCTTGGTAACGCCACACTTGGAATGCTGCATTTAGTTTTGGTCTACACAGAAAATAGGTGTAGACTCTAGAAAGAGTGCAGAGAAGAGCAACAAAGATGATTAGGAACTGGTGACTAAAACATATGAAGAACGGTTGCAGGAACTGGGTATGTCTAGTTTAATAGAAAGAAGGACTAGAAGATACATGATAGCAGTGTTCCAATATCTCAGGGATTGCCACAAAGAAGAGGGAGTCAAACTATTTTCCAAGGCACCTGAGGGTAGGATAAGAAGCAATGGGTGGAAACTAATCAAGGGAGAAGCAACTTAGGACTAAGGAGACATTTCCTGACAGTTAGAACAATACAATTAATCAGTGGAACAGCTTGCCTCCAGAAGTTGTGAATGCTGCAACACTGGAAGTTTTAAAGAAGATGTTGGATAACCATTTGTCTGAAGTGGTGTAGGGTTTCCTGCCTAGGCAGGGGGTTGGACTAGAAGACCTCCAAGGTCCCTTCCAACTCTGCTATTGTATTGTATTTCCCTTAGGAGGATCAGAGGGGAGCTATTGAAACATGCCTAAACAATGACCCATTTGTGCATTATATTTTATATCTGATATAATTTCAAGAGACTCTAGTCCAGTATGTGCTCTTGTTGCACTGTGTGGATGCAAAATTACTTTCTAGAGTATGTCACCTTGAGCATTGTCAGAAAAAAAAAACCCTCTATTTCAATCATATTTAGAACCATCTCTGCTCTGTATGTATAAGCTTTGTTGTCATTATACATAAATACAACAAAATTGGTTATTTTATTTTCCTGAGTCACCAACTATCTTTGTGTTTACGTTTCATACAGGCATGGAGACCTATATGTAATCAGATCTTCCAGCATATCTCATGCATTTCATATCAGAGGGGGTATGCTGCTGGTTTGCACCGGTTTGGGCGAACCAGTAATGGCGGTGGTGCAAGGCTCCACCCACACCCTGATGAGGTTCTACACATGCCCAGACGTGCGCGCACTCCCCCTACTGAACTGGTAGTGAAGAAAATAGAATAGCTTCTCTGTTTCAGATGGAAATGGGCATTGAGAAATGGTCTTCCAATTTCTCCCCTATGGTTCTCGTCATTTGTCACAGACAGGTGCTGCCAATAGTAGATCTGCTGAGCATGGCCCTCAGATAAGGGCTGGGTTCACGCATCTTGCTAAACAAATTGTACTCTGAGACTGCTTCTTAAATTAGATTAAATAGCCATAAGAATCATTTATGATTCTTTGAAACCACCACAAGAATCATTTTTTGATTAAAGGGTGGGAGATCTGTTTTTAAATCAATTGGTTTGTTATTGTGAGGTTGTTATAAGTCATGTAGCACATTAATAATGCTGTTTTGTGCCTCCGCTCCTCCTCTGAAACCTTTTTCACTGTGGATAGAACTCGATTCCTAGTTACGCATTAGATACATAAATCCAATTTTCTTGACAACACAATGAAAGGGGCTAGCCATTATCTTCTTCCAGAGTGGTGTGTGCATGTGTATCTGCCATTATAACCTATTTCTAATTTAGATTCTATATTTCCATTATTATGCAAAGTCATCTTGATGTTGCTGCCTAGAGGGATGGTGGAAAAATAAAGGGAAGTAAATAGACATATACTGTTTTTGTTGCAACGGCGGTAGCAATACTTTGGACCAAATGACTGGTGAAGCTCTGCTCGAAAAGCATGAGTCAAAAAGATTAACTTGATTAGTTGAGTGTCTAACCGGCAGAAGCCACACTGTGTTTTCAAAAGGCAGATTTGAACAAAACATGCCTTTCTTGTGGCAAAATAAACATAAATGGTAGGCTCCTGATGAGCAGAAAGTTGAAAGGCTGAAAGGCTTAAAAAGAGAGCTCCAGTCATAGATGTTATTATTCATCATTATTTTTAATGTGATTTGTCTTTCATGCTATCAGCTTATTTTCTTAATAGCCCACTCATTTTTATATACACTGTCACAAATGGGTTTTTATGGATGTTCAGAGAAATATTAAAGGTAATGAAGAGTCTCAACACTGAACATTGTTTACTACAGTTCTGTGAAAAATGAGTCAAAGAGTTTCTTTTTTATATAGTTGACTTGCCCTTGGCTAGCTACTAACAATGGCCGTAGCAATACTTTAAACAGATTACGTGAACTCCCAGCTTGTACCACATTCTCTTGTTATCTCAGTTGTCTATGAAGTGGATATCTGATTTTCTGCCTTCTACAATTGGAGCACCATCCAGATGCGTGAACTTCAGCTTCCAGAATGTTCAGCAGTGATCATGCAAAGTAAAATTCTGGAAGTTAAAGTTTACACATTTGGATGGTTATCCAGTTGCAGAAATCTGATACATGAGACATCATGTGAAAAATTGTTTTGCATCTGGAAAAATATATTGCATTGTTGTGAAATACATTTGATTGTTGCAAAGTGTACAAAATGGCCATGGAGACAAAATCATGGGGAAGTGGGCAAGAATATTAAACATGCCCACATGAGACTTCTCTGATCTGTTTCCCAGAGAACAGATGGTCCTCAACTTATGGCTGGTCGCTTAGTCATCCTTCGAAGTAACAATGGACCTTCACATGATTACTTATGACCCAGATTCTAAATTCTCACAACCACCACCCACACAGACACATGATTACATTGTGGACTCTCAGCAGTCAACCCACATTTACCACCATTTGCAGCATCCTTTGGTCATGTGATCAGGTTTTAGAACATTTTTTTACCAAAAATCATGCGTCGTTCCATTTTCTGGCAAAAAAACCACCTATTACAGACAATGAATTTGTGCAACAATCATTGTGCTTACTAATGATGCCCCAAAAAAGGTTGCTAAATTGGGTGTAGTCACATGGTGACCCATTTAACAACTGGCATGATTTAGGACTATAATTCCAGGCTCAATTACAATTGTAAATCAAAGATTAAGTACATATACTTCTCCCATCCAGAAACACGATGAATGTAAGACTAACAAAAGAGAGCAGAATTGTTATGTTCTTTCTTGCCAATGTTACTTATCCTGCTTCACTCAATGGCAAGTTTAGAAGATGTTCTAGAGGCCATATTCCAGTTTTTATGGCACTTTGGCATGTCATTCATTGTATGCGAAAAGAAATATAAAGTAGGTCACCCATTAATTACTTTATATCCTAGCCAATGTGTCGCGTATAACCATGTTTACTAAAGAGGACATGATTACTTCAAAGTAGGTACCACTAATATACTTAAGTAAAATTATTGTGAAATAAGAAAGTTTGGATTTTGAAGAAGTTGTATGATACATGATGAATATTCCTAGATAAAATGGACCCTAACATGAAGTTGTGATGGATGTCTTATTGTTTCTTCAGGCCATTCATGCTTTTGCCCCCTCTGATGGAATGGATGCGAGTAGCTATAACCTATGCTGAGCACCGGCGCAGTTTAACTGTACACAGTGATGATATACGACAGACAGCTAGGCTGCTGTTACCTGGATTGGACTGTGAACCTCGGCAATTGAAGTAGGTGGCGCACTTTTAATATTCCACTTACATTTAATCGCAATATATTCTAATTAAGGCTGCTGTTTTTTAATATATTTTATATGTATATGCCAGAAGACTGATTTGTTTGTAAGTGGCTCTGTGTCGGTATTATTTCTGAAAGGACATGAGCTGTTGATTTATAAACTTTAGCATTTTTCTTGGCAATCAAACAAACAAAAAAAATCATCTAAAATGGGACAAGCTCTCCCTTGGAGTTATTGTGAATAACCACGCGTGGCCCCGAACATAAATCACAATTTGTTCAAGAAAATTGAAGGACAGTATTTTTAAAAGTGAAATGATCAGGCACATAGAAAGAACATTAAAGTACCGTATTTTTTGGACTATAAGATGCACCAGTGTATAAGATGCACCAAGATTTGGAAGAGCTAAGTAAGAAAAAAAGGTTTTGTCTTCCCTGGCCCCCAGGAGCACTCTGCAGGCTTCAGCAGGGCTGGGGTAAGGCAAAAACACCCCCATTTATCACCATAATGTGGGGGTTGTTTTTCCTTCCCGCAGCCCTGCTGAAGCCTGCAGAGTGCTCCTGTGGGGTGGGGAAGACAAAACACCCGTTTTGGTGAGAAACGGACTGTTTTTTGCCCATTTTTCACAAAAATGGGATGCAGGGACAGGCCTTCGGGAGGCCAAAAATGGCTGTATTCAGTGTATAAGAAGCACCAACATTTCCACGGTCTTTTGGGGGGTAGAAGGTGCGTCTTATACTCCAAAAAATATGGTAGCTTCTGTGAGGTAGGTCACAATAGCCTTTTGAGTTTTTTTCGGAGTGTAAAGCAATGTACAGAGGAATAACCTTGAAAGAATAGTGGACTTGGATTTTGAAGAGGCTTTAACCAAATATTAAGAAATTCTTGATCAAACAGAGCAGTCATAAATAAGAAAAGATTGGTAATGATTAAATAACAGAAATCAGAGAATGGGATTAAGTGAACAGTTCTTGCAATGGATGGACATAACCACTATCATCCTGAAGAGTCTGCATCAGGACCAATATTTTTATTCTTTCCAATCCAACAGAATATTGGAAGGCAATTATATAAAAGAGCTTAGTACCATCTGCCCTCTGGCTATCTGTCTGCCAATAGGAAAGCTCTCCCAAATCAGAACAGAACAGGGCAAATTATCTATGACAGAAGCATGCAAAACAATGATTGTGCGTGTTTTTTTAATAGGCTGGACCTGATTGGAACTGCAGAGAAAAGAAATCCAGGGGAAAAAAATATCCCCCCAGTGCATTACTATATGTTAGGAGAAGCAGCTGGAAACAGTAACTCAGAAATGCTGCTGTTCTACTTTAAACCCCCACTTTTCTGGTCACATGACCCAGTGCAGAATGTGTGCAGCCTTCTCAATACTTCTCAGGGCACACACGCACACAAAGCAGAAACAAACGTCCATAGCGTATTAGTTTGTTATACAGGAAAAAGTAAATATGCCTTCTGTGGCCAAGCGGTTTGTAAGCAATTCATGAAGCCATGCTCGGTATGCTTTCTTTAAGTTATTTACTTTACTTAGCTCACTTTCAGCCAATGTACCTCACCAGGGGGTTATATATTAAACAGAATGGTGGGAATGTCTGGAGAAATTTATGGGTAATTAAAACTATAAAATCCATTTCCACAAATTGAATCAGCGGCCACTGATTTTTTAAAACTGTTTGGCCAAATTCATGAACAGTAAAACTTTAACAGAACAATAGAATAACAGAGTTGGAAGGGACCTTGGAAGTCTCCTACTCCAAACCTTTGCTCAAACAGGGCACCCTATACCATTCTAGTCAAGTAGTTGTCCAGTCTTCTTATATTTGTCCAGTGATGGAGCAACCACAACTTCTGAAGGCAAGCCGTTCGACTGGTTAATTGATCTCACCTTTAGGAAAATTCTCCTTATTTTTAGGTTGCTTCTCTCCTTGATTAGTTTCCATCCATTGATTCTTGTTTTGCCTTCTGGTGCTTTAGATAATAGTTTGACCCCATCTTCTTTGTGGCAGCCCCTCAAATATTGTAACACTGCTATCATGTCACCCCCTGGTTCTTCTTTTCGCGATTGGCGAAAATCACTTCCAACGTTCTTTATATGTTTCAGCCTTCTGTCCCCTAATCATCTTTGTTGCTCTTTCCTAGTGCAATGTTAATTGCACTGTCAACTATTGGTGATTGCCAGTCATGATTATGACAGGATATCTGCATGTATCATAAAGAGCTGGTGCTATACGAATGAATGAATGAACGAACAAATGAATTAATTGTATTAAGCATATAAAATAGCATATAAAATGAACATATATTCCTTCTAAAGTATGTGTTCATTAAACCTATGCATATGGTAAAAGGTCAAGTGTACACAAAATGATTTAAATTGAATAATAACAATAACAATAATAACCAAAGAGGCAAGAAGGAGAAGCCTTTGAGGAAAATTCAGTTGGAATTGAAGATCAAAAAATTTCATGGAGACTTGAGCAACTTGAAGAACTTAAGGCAAGGTCAGCGAAAGAACAAGCAGGTCAAAAGCAGCCTGGAGCAAGATATAATTTGGAGAATAAGGAGATTGCGATAGTAATTGAAGAGCTGAAGCAGAGGGTTGTTGCCNAATATTATTTGCTGCCATCTATTGACCACCTTGAATGTTGCACTCCACATCTAGTAACCTTACTGTGTAGGTCTTACAACAGGCAACCAAGGAAAGTATATGCCATGATTAGCAGTCTCCCTGCCTCCATTTCTTCTTCATATTCCCTGTTGTTGTTGTTTTACAGCTGCTGCTGGATGCAGGGGCCCATGTTGAAGGTTCTGCTGTCAACAGTGGAGAAGACAACTATGCTGAGACACCACTTCAACTGGCCTCAGCAGCAGGCAAGTTTCAGCAAGTGTTGCACTTTCATCCCTAATGAAGTTCAGAGGTTTCTCAACCTCAGCAACTTCAGCTCCCAGTATTGGCTGACTCGGAATTCTGGGAATTGAAGTTTTCATGACTTAAAGTTATTGAGAAATATTGGTGTAGATACATGATCTTAAAACAATTGCCTCCAACTCCAATTGCCTCTATTTGGGTTTCAGTCTGACTAGGAAGTGCCAAAAAACCCAAATTTGGAAGAAACAATATTTTCAGAGGTGCCAAATATTTTGTACTTAATACAGGCGTGCAGTTCCTGGCAACCTGTTTGCAGTGGGGCAGTGAGACTATGTAGGATTATGAAATGATGAATTGTACTTAGTGTATGTATACAAGATAATATGTGGTCCTAGTGTATGCACATAGATCCACTTGGCATGATTCTTGCTCCCTTTTGGGGGAATGGAAACTATAATAGAAAATAATGATGTGCATATAAATATCCACAAATGTTTACACATTATTGTATGTGCATAGCAAGATTTCATCACCACATCTTATCAAATATACAGGATCACTATTAAAAATTAGAGGGTGGGAGGGAGGGAGGAAGGAAAGAAAGATTAGCTGCTATCTTACAATTTTACAAAAAAAAACATAAATACAACTGTTTGCATTTCTAGGCAACTATGAGCTGGTCAGTTTGCTACTGAGCCGAGGAGCTGATCCCCTTCTGAGTATGCTGGAGGCCAATGGGATCTCCTCATCACTTCATGAAGACATGAACTGTTTCAGCCATGCTGCTGCTCATGGACACAGGTAAATCATAGGCATAGGTTGGTAAGTGTAGTCAGTTGTGCCCCATGGATGATAGGAAAAGAGATGTCACCTCTTTTTCCTTCTGTGCTTTATATCAGCACCTGGAGCAAGGAATTTATTTAGGTTCTTTCACGGGACATTAAGAAAGGCCTCTGGATGGTTCAATAACATTGTAAAAGACACTGTGGATTATGGACTTCTGTGAAAGTTCAGAGAATAATGGTCTCTCCTTTATTTTTTCATTTGCCAGGAATCACATGATAGAAACAGTAGCTTTGCCAGGATATTTCTGTAGCCCAAAACAATTGTATTCATCAAGTTTCAATATCCTAGCATCACTGTATTTTTAATCATTTTCTAACTATCAGACAACTATTCATATTTTTGCTACCATCAGGAGCAAAAATTATATTTCCAAATTAGTATCTTTTTTTTTAAATGGAGAATCATTGGCCGGGAAACTTCAAACAGTAATAGAAAACACACAAATTACCAAAGGCTCAAGCATCTTGGGGTAGGAAAAAAACAGCAACAAGAAGAGTACCTGCAAGAGAGATTTAGAATTTTTTTAAAAAATTGTATCTCTTTTGCAGTCCTTGACAAAAGATACAACTCCTTGTGGATTTTTTGTGTAAAAAACAAAAAAAACGAAGTTGTGATTTACGTCTTTGATGGTTAGGCAAGATATAGAAAAGAGAAAATCATGATATAATCTTAGTCAGAGAGGTTATTATTGTACTTAAACCTGCTGTAAAGATCAAAAGCCAACTTTTTAATATCTTTTTAATATATGTATCTACTTTTTTGCTTTTATCTTCCTATTACTTTATACATTTTTCCCCTTTTCCTTTTTCCTTTCTCATTCTACTTTAGTTTGTATTAGTTATGAGTGTTAAAAATCTCAGTATTAATACACACACTGTATCCTTACGTTCAATTCACAGAATGTAGCTGCTGGTGGCAATTTAAAAGATTGTTTTAAATTGCAAGGTGTGGTTATAGTATAAATTTATATGTGGCCTAGTGGATATTTCAGTAATCAAAGAAGAAAATAATTAAAAGAAATAATGTTGCTAAATTCCACCTTTGCATTTCTCTTGCTTGTCTACAAAGATCTCCTTGACGTCGTTAAAATTATTTTTGTGGGGAGTAGGCATTTACTAACCAAATTACCAGAGTAAACTGAGTTATCTCATAGTTTCCAGATCTGTATAGTAACAGATCCTTTTGTTTTTTACTTTACAGAAATGTTCTGCGCAAGCTGTTGACCCAACCACAGCAGTCAAAGGGAGATGTTCTCTCCCTGGAGGAGATTTTAGCAGAGGGTGTGGAAAGTGATACTTCCAGCCAAGGAAGTTCTAATGAGGGCCAAGTTAAGTTATGCAAAACCAGAATGAAAGCATTACAGGAGGCCATGTATTACAGTGCCGAGCATGGCTATGTCGATATCACAATGGAACTGAGAGTACTTGGTAAGATTTTGTTTTTGACTCTTCTTATCATTGTAAGACATGGAAACATTCCTTAAGTCTCTTGTACATTTCTCTCTCTCTCTCTTTCTCTCCCCCTCCCTCACTCCCTCTCCCCCCCCTCTCTCTATGTATCATACTACTAGATGACAGCAAAGAGGAGGCTTCGGTAATCTCTTTGCTGCCATCTAATGATTGTCTGGGTTTCTGCAGGCAAGATCTTGCAAAATAATGGTAATTACCTGCACTACTGAGCCATGGTGGTGCAGTGGTTAGAGTGCAGTACTGCAGGCTACTTCTGATGACTTCTGGCTGCCTGCAATTTGGCACTTTGAATCTCACCAGGCTCAAGGTTGACTCAGCCTTCCCTCCTTCCGAGGAGGGTAAAATGAGGACCCAGATTGTTGGGGGCAATAGGCTGACTCTGTAAACCACTTAAAGAGGGCTGTAAAAGCAATATGAAGTGGTATATAAGTGCTATTGCTATTGCTCCTGCATTCTGGACAAAGTGGCTTCCTGATGGGCACCCTCACATAGAACTTTATGACAGTAGTTCAGGAAGTGAACAAGGCAGGGTTTGTTTTGGTATAATTTTTTATTACGTTTTTTAAAAGAAGATTAAAAATAATACGTCTAGTGGTTAAGGGACCGTGCTAGAAAGCAAAAGACCAAGAATTAAAGACCCATCTTGGCCATGAAAACCAGCTGGGTGACCTTGGGCCAGTCACTCTCTCACGGGCCAATTCGCCAAACAGGATTGTTGTTGTTGTGGGGAAAATAGGAAGGGGAAAGTATATTGTATATGTTTGCCACCTTGAGTTATTTAATAAAAGAAGCAAAAAGGAAACAAAGAAAAAAGAAAAGAAAAAGAGAGTGCAAAAAGAATGAAAAGAAATAGAAAGTAGTAGCTTATATTCCTACCTCTACACTAATTCTTGCTGCAAAGAGAATCAGAAGTTACATTAAGGCAGGGCTTTTTGATCCATTGGCATACAAGATAATGTATGTTGTAAAAAATTAGTTGCATTCTAATTTATTCCAGGAAGAATGTTTAGAAAAAGCTGAAGAATCATTTTTATTATATTGAATTAATGCTGTAGACTGTGCTG